TGATGGATTACTTGTGTGTTTATTGTGATAAAATTGCTCCTACGATGTACGGAAATTTATTAGTGAATATATTGGACGTAGTGTCTTTGCAGGGTGGTGAAAGCACGAATAGGAAACTATATAAACCTCTAAATACAAATGTACTGGATAGCATAAGTATTGCAGTAACCGATCCTAATGGGACCCCTATTTATTTTGATAAACGAGGAAGCACAACAGCTGTTTTACATATACGACCCCGAATTGGGTCTATATAATAAGGACATTACAGTTCCGAGCCTCATTACTCATCTGCAAGCTACAAAATGCGCGTCAATTTCATCCCTCCGTCTGTAGACGAAATATTATTCTTAATTAGCCCACCTGCCTCATATAAAGGAGGTGGGCTGAGTGATATTAGAATATTCAATAGGAGTCATATAAGAGGAGGTGGTATATTCAGTTTCCTCACTGGTTTAGCCCGTAAAGCAGCCCCATTTTTAATGAGAACCCTAGCTCCTGCCGTCTTAAGTATGGGTCAGAATGTATTGCAAGACATGCAAACAGGCGAACATTCCTTTAAAAAGTCAATGAAGAAGCATGGGATCGAATCATTGAAGGGAGTTGGCCGTCAGATTTTAGGTGGTGGTAAAAGGCGGAAAAAGTCTAAGAGAAGGGCTAAGGCCACCAAATTAGCACTTATTCGCAGTTTCACAAAACAGAATAAGAAGAATAAGAGATATAATGACGTGTTTGCATAAATTACAATTCATTCCTCTCATAGCATCCAGCATGAATACTACTACTACACTAGGAGCTGGGCTACAATCCCCTTTGGAAAGTTACACAGTGGCTGTAACAGATGGATTTCCCAAACTTAATTCAGCACGTATGATCGAGTCCACTATAGCCAGCAGGAAAAATATCGATATTTTACCTGTTAATTTAGGAATTAATAAATTTAAGGACTCGTATATCGAATTTAGAATCCCTGGCATTCCTGGCCATTTCCTGGATATGTCATCACTAGCCCTAGAAGTGGGCATAGAATTAACAGAAGCTGACGCCGCAATAGATTCGGGCAAAAAAGTGACTGTAGCCAATGGATTATCACAAACACTTTTTAAAACAGTGGTGGTGTATTTCAACGAACAAGTAGTTGAAAGTAATTCTTTATTTTCTTATTGGGCGTATATAAAGCTGCTAACGACTCTTTCCAGAAGTAAAATTGATGGTTTTAAGCATCTAGCTCATTTTTATAAAGAAGAGGCGCTAACGATACCCAATAAAATTGATACGCAGTATTTTGCTACGACCACGATAGATCAGGATGAGAAAATGGCTAATATGAAAGAACACGGCATTTATACGTGCTTTAAATTACTGCTGGATATTGCATCTATTAGCGAATATTTACTGGATAACGTAGATGTAAGAATACGTTTAGAGTTAAATAGTGATAAATGGGTTATTGGCAGTGATACAGCAACTGCTAATTATAAATATAATATAAATATGGCCCGCTTATGGATCGATAGATTAACCCCATTCCCTTCTGGGCTACTAGCTATTAACAGAGCACTCGCCCAAAATAATGGAGCAGTAACGTATATATTTGATAAAACCCTATTTAAAACCTTTATTCTAGGGCAGGGCCAAAAATCATTAACTATGGACCAACCCTGGGGTGGAGTGATCCCTGAGAAGTTATACATGGCCATTATTGATATGGAAGCCATTTCTGGAGATTATACCTTAAACCCATTATATTTCAACAATTCCGCCTTGAGCAACGTATATATCTCGGTGAACGGCACGAGTTTATTTAATATCGCGTGTGATTTCCCCCATAAATGTTCGAAATTATATTATACGGTCCTGAATGCTGTAGGATTTAATGTAGATAATATTTTGTCCTACGAATCGTTCGTTAAAGGACAAACTCTGCTGGTCTTTAATTTATTACCAGAAGAAATAAAGGATACAGTTTCCTTGGAAGCGACAGGGAATTTAAGAATTACATTGGAATTTAATACAGCCATAGTGGGAAATAAAGTCATACTGCTGTTTGGTCCTACTACTGGGGTTATGAAAATTAATGCTGACCGACGTATTATTTGTGAAACGAGAGCCTAAGAAACATGAATTGTTTAGAAATAAACAATGGGTTGAAAAATGTATATTTAGGGGAAGAAGCCATATATATCGGATGTTATTTAGCGAACGATGTACGGAGAATCTTCAAGAAATTGAATAAAGAGCCAGTGGTATTTATTTTAAATACTTTAGATGAGAAATCCCCTGAAACGATGATGGGTCATTGGATGACTGTGTATGTACACAATAAACCTTCAGGAGCCATTATCGCCCTGTTGGACAGTTTTGGGCTGAAGATGGAATCCCATTCACGTTATTTACAAGAATTCCTCTCTTATTTTGAAGATTACAGAGTTTACATGTTCACACAACGCATACAGAGTATGGACTCCTATTATTGTGGAGCCTATGCCATGTTTTTCGTCTATCAATTATGCACCCTTAACTTGAGAGCTGCACTACATAAATTTGAAACTTTATTTGAATATGGGGAATATGATATGAACGATAGGAAGATAATTGAATTTGCTTATTCTAATTTTGCAATGCCTAACTGCAAAAAGACATTTTGCATAGATGGAGAGGATAAATGTCTATCGCTGTGTGATGACTCCTCATATTACTGAGCTGTAAGTATATTTTAGATGTTTGCTATATATTGCCTTTCTTATTATTGCTGATTTATTATTATTATTATTATTCTGCGTTGCTAATATGGGTTCTATTTATTCTTCCAGATTTGTTGTGGCAGAGGAATGGGTCTAACAAAAAATTACCAGGATCTGAGATTGCTATGACCAACATCTGAAATATCATGCTTGTTCCCCATTACAATTTTACTGTTAAGACTAGAATGTAAACTTTTATTACCAATAAAATAATAGAAACCTATACAATGTATATTCTTAAACCTCTGATTAGGTTAGGTGGGGATGGATAGTCTAGTCATTTTTGAATAATAACATTAAATACACATGCAAGTAGGACGCCAAAGGGCGCATTGGTTGTCTGGTGACGTCATACATAGATACGTATCAACATGAAACAGAATAGGAATGAATTGGATAAAGTTTTATATTTAGGAAAAAGACCTGGATAAATACAGGCAGCAGGGGACGAACTTGAAAATACACACATAACTTCTTGCAGTGCTGAAGTTATGTTCTTCCCTCACATACTTGTTTCCCTTTGATAAATGTAATGGGTGATGGTTGGAAGTAAATATGAAATTAAAAATAGACTAGGGATGATGGTATTTTATATTAGGTTTCAAGGATACTGTTGTATCGCAAAACCCATGATGCTACGACAGGCTTTTTAATCCCCTCGAACATGCCGGTGCAGGAATGCTGAGCGGCTACCTGGTGACGTCATTGACCATTAGCAATGTCTGTGCAGGGTCACTAAGCCAACGAAATTTGGGGATGCCAGGGACCAGCTTTTTAATCCCTAGGAACAAAAAACTATGATGCTACGACCGGCATAGGAACAAAAAACTATGATGCTAAGACCAGCATAGGAACAAAAAAATTCACAAAAACCCATGATGCTACGACAGGCTTAGGAAAAAAAACAGGAAAAACCCCAGATGCTACGACCGACATAGGGAAAAAAACAGGAAAAAAACAATGAAGCTACGACGTGCATAGGAAAAAATGAAAATTGCACGTCGTAGCTATCAAAAACCCCCTACGCCTACGACGTGCATAGGAAAAAATGAAAATTGCACGTCGTAGCTATCAAAAACCCCCTACGCCTACGACGTGCATAGGAAAAAATGAAAATTGCACGTCGTAGGCGTACTTTCCACTACTGGCCTCCACCCCCAGGAAGCAGCCCGTGACAGCTGACGAACATCCAGGTACCTATTTTACTGCTAGGTAACAGGGGCATAGGGTGAAAGAAACTCTGCCCATTGTTTCTCGCCGGCGCCCGGGATCGAACCCGGGACCACAGGATCACAAGTCCCGTGTTCTGTCCGCTCGGCCGACCGGTTCCAGAGAATATAGCATAGATAACATAGAGAATTATATGGGACACCGTTATTGTTTGAGGGAGTGTATGAATCCATATGTTATGAATGACGCAGTGTAAAGTGAGAATGTTAATATTTTCTTGTTGGAATTATTTTTATATGCAAGTTACCAGCCTAAGCAACGAGGCAACTGGCGAAAACTGAGCAGCAGCCTAGTGCAGTTTATCTGGTGAAGAACCGAGATTATATAAGCGGGATGCCTAGCTTATACATCCTGATGATACTATATTGCTTTGTGTTTTTTGTGTAATTAATGTTTGTTTGTAGACCACTAGTTTTTGCTCTTGTTCTGGTGAGGATTTCTAGGAAGAGAGAAAGAGAAACAGTTACAGGTCGGTTGACAGCGGACAGTAATATTATAAAGAAGAAATAGAAGATCATCCCTACTAGGGAGAGAGTGGGGTAAGTCACGGTGGCTTAGTGGGGTGTGTACTCGTAACAAATAGGACAGAGTTGAGCCGATTCCCCAGATAAGGTGATGTTGAGCTCCTCCTTCATACATAAGACGCCTATAAGGTGATCCTCCAAGGTGCATTCTATTGTCCATTGATTGATTGACGACAGCAGCAGCAAGTCAGTGTCATCATTCATCACTAGTAATTATATCATTTTATCAAGGGGGCGGGGAGGGATCTCTGATTTAAAAATAATAATCTCCTCTCCTTTGATACAAGATAAATGCTGAACTCAACACTTTGTGAGTAAAAAGGTAACTATGGGAACTTACACTGTATGTGAGTAACTTCGTAACTGCTGGGACTTACACTGTACATAACAAGGTAACCGCTGGAACTGACACTGTAAAATTGTAAGTGCTGGGATTTACATTGTTATGTGAGTAACAAGGTAATGCTGGGACTTACACTGAGTAACCAGGTGGGTTAATTACCTGGAGCCATATGACGTTAAGAGACTTCGGCTGGTCGACCAGGCCATAAGTGATCTTCTGGTCGTGGCGCTCAGCCTGGAAGGTGCCAAACATACGGTCCCAGATGATGAGGACGCCAGCATAGTTCTTGTCCAGACACCACTTGTTGACCCCTGAGGGCGAGAACCACTCATAGTTGTTCTTCACATCACTACTCTCATTCCTCTTAAGGAATGCTTAAACTATTATTTATAATGTAATTAACAAGAATTTAGTCTACAAAGATACTACTCAATCATTTATAAAGTTTTTATTCTGAAAAGCTAATGACGTTTTGTCCTCCAGCACTACTGTACTATTCCTTTATTTGATGAAAGCCTAATATGTTCATTCAAAGTGCTTTTAATACTAAACTTTTATGGAAAGCTATTCTGCAATTGATCTTTATTGATATACAAAGTACTAACTCTGAACATTGGGACATATTCTTCACTATTTTATTTATAATATATAAAAAATTTAAATAACACTGTGCCGTAGGGAATGTTTCGCAGAGAAGTCAACACCTAGCAAGTATTTTCTGCGGAATTAGTCATGGTTTTCTAACAAGTAAGAGCTTTGATTGCTTTCTCTGTGAAATATAGTTCGAAGCCGAACATTGTATTCTTGAGTATTAAACCAGCATGGTTGCTCACTAGATATGAAAACACCTGTGTACATACAGGGGTTTAACATCACGATTTGTTAAACTGCTGTATAGTAACTGTAGTAGTGACCTAAGTCTGGGCACAGTAGATCAGGATGAAAAATGACGTGATTATAATTGAAGTAATATTAATGATTTTCCTCATTTGTTGTTTAAGATACTGTTACAGGAGTTGGTTCCTACTACAAGAAGGTATTGTGGCGGAGGTCTCTACTGACCATGATGGACGCGGTGATGAGACGGCGTATTCAGTACCCACTCCAGCGGCCCGCACTTCCTCACCACCTCTGTGTGGATCCAAAACTGGAACAGTAAATTGAACTGCAGGTGCACCAGGACCGCCGCCAGGGGCACCCCAAGCAGGGCCAGAGGCTGGTAGAAGCCAAAGGAAAAATACTTCTGGAACATGGACTGGCGGAGAGCGGTGGAGAGGTTGTACTCCTCGGAGGAGTGATGGACCTGGTGGCTGGCCCACACCAAGTTGATCTCTGTAACGGTTCACTTAGTATCAGTCACACTTAGGCATGACCTGTTTGTTATCTTTGGACCTAAGCACGGGTCAGGTGACAGAGCTGGCTACGTTATTCATCACCATGTTTTCCCTTAGACCATGATTTGTTAATCGTTTTACATACAGGTCACAAATTAATTCAAGCGGACAACGAAGACTGTTGGCATAACAAAATATTGCACAGCTACATTGCACAAAGTAAGTTATTAATTTAACGTAACATAAAAAAAAAATTGTTAGTCAATATATATCCTTACGTGACTGGCAGTGAGAGATAGAGTGAGTGTACGACAACATGGTGCTGAGGGAACACTCAGGACACTGACCGTGAGTGGCTCGGTGGAACCAGTAGTAGCCCAGGTCGACGCCCAGAGCGGCCACCACCCAGGTCACCGGTGACGACCAGTCCAGGTGCAGGAGGCGGTGCTCGTACAGCCACTCGTACCCCAGCAGCGCGAACCCTCGCAGCACCACCAGCCTGCACCACAACCATCTGCATCAGCTCTCTCTGTCCACCTACTCTAGTGTTCATCAACAACTATCTGGTCTCCGTGTCCACCAACAACTATCAGGTCTCCGTGTCCACCAACAACTATCAGGTCTCCGTGTCCACCAACAACTATCTGGTCTCCGTGTCCACCAACAACTATCAGGTCTCCGTGTCCATCAACAACTATCTGGTCTCCGTGTCCACCAACAACTATCTGGTCTCCGTGTCCACCAACAACTATCAGGTCTCCGTGTCCATCAACAACTATCTGGTCTCCGTGTCCACCAACAACTATCTGGTCTCCGTGTCCACCAACAACTATCTGGTCTTCGTGTCCACCAACAGCTATCAGGTCTCCGTGTCCATCAACAACTATCAGGTCTCCGTGTCCATCAACAACTATCTGGGCTCCGTGTCCACCAACAACTATCTGGTCTTCGTGTCCACCAACAACTATCAGGTCTCCGTGTCCATCAACAACTATCAGGTCTCCGTGTCCATCAACAACTATCTGGGCTCCGTGTCCACCAACAACTATCAGGTCTCCGTGTCCATCAACAACTATCAGGTCTCCGTGTCCATCAACAACTATCTGGTCTCCGTGTCCACCAACAACTATCTGGTCTTCGTGTCCATCAACAACTATCTGGTCTTCGTGTCCACCAACAACTATCAGGTCTCCGTGTCCATCAAAAACTATCAGGTCTCCGTGTCCATCAACAACTATCTGGTCTCCGTGTCCATCAACAACTATCTGGGCTCCGTGTCCACCAACAACTATCTGGTCTTCGTGTCCACCAACAACTATCAGGTCTCCGTGTCCATCAACAACTATCAGGTCTCCGTGTCCATCAACAACTATCAGGTCTCCGTGTCCATCAACAACTATCTGGGCTCCGTGTCCACCAACAACTATCAGGTCTCCGTGTCCATCAACAACTATCTGGTCTCCGTGTCCACCAACAACTATCAGGTCTCCGTGTCCACCAACAACTATCAGGTCTCCGTGTCCACCAACAATTATCTGGTCTCCATGTCCACCAACAATTTTAACATAAACAGATATCAGGCTCAGCATCTAATCTCCTAATTTGAACGCTTTGTGACGACAGAGAATGTTTCACTAATGTTCCAAACTGACTTTCAAGGCTGATGTGTGGTACCATGGTGACACATCACCAGAGCTGTGGTACCATGGTGACACATCACCAGAGCTGTGGTACCATGGTGACACATCACCAGAGCTGTGGTACCATGGTGACACATCACCAGAGCTGTGGTACCATGGTGACACATCACCAGAGCTGTGGTACCATGGTGACACATCACCACAGCTGTGGTACCATGGTGACACATCACCACTGCTGTGGTACCATGGTGACACATCACCACAGCTGTGGTACCATGGTGACACATCACCACAGCTGTGATACCATGGTGACACATCACCACAGCTGTGGTACCATGGTGACACATCACCACAGCTGTGGTACCATGGTGACACATCACCACAGCTGTGGTACCATGGTGACACATCACCAGAGATGTGGTACCATGGTGACACATCACCACAGCTGTGGTACCATGGTGGCACCACACCAAGAACATCAGACAAGGAGGATACAGAGGAGAGGAGCAACAGCTCACCCCAGGACATCGTAGACGATGCCGTGCATGACGGAGGTGACGAGGTCGTTGTGCCTGAACTTCACCCCGTCCCGGAGCCACACCACCGTCCACTCCAGCACCACCATCGTGATGAACAGCGGCACCGCCTGCAGCACCAGCACACCTCTTATTTATTTACTTATTTATTTATTTATTTACAAGTAAGTACATTGGGTTTATTGGAGTACAGAGACTTGAAGTTTTACAATCTTGTAGAACCACCAGCACGCATAACGTTTCGGGCAGATCCTTAAGCTAATATATAATTTTAAGAAGGTAATTTCAAGCAAAATTACCCCAAAAAAATGTTTACAGGTACATTGTAAGAAAGTATAAAAATACATAATAAGAAAGTATAAAAATACATTGTAAGAAGGTATAAAAATGCATTGTAAGAGAGTACAAAAAAATACATTGTATAAGAAATTTAACAGAAAATAGAAATAGGTACAATAAAGCAAATTTAAGGGTTATCCACAGGTACATTTTAGCACAATTTGAGGATTATTGCAAGATATAATGTAGCAATCTATACGTATAAAATGATATATATGTAGTAAATTTGCTACACACTATAATGTAGCAAATTATGTGTATAACATGATATAAGATAACGGAAATGATTACAGTGGTAAAGTTGTATGGCATAGGTACATATTTTGGGGAATTGGGTAGCACTAGGTAGGAAACTATGATGATGAAATTAGGTACTTTTTGGTTTTATTTTTTTGAATAAGGCAAAAGTTTTATTTTTTTTAATAAGGCAAAAAGTGTGGTGATTAAGTGTTCTATTACATCTGTCTTAGAAGAGGTTCAGAACAGGGTTTGCACTGAAGAACAGAGTTTTGTAAATGTAATTGGCAAAAGAGAATGTGTGGAATGAGGTTATGTTTTGCATGTTTATGGATACAAGGGGGCTGAGTGTTGTCTGAAAGCAGAGTTGGTTATTGTTCTGATAGCAGATTTTTGCTGGGTGATGATGGGCTTGAGGTAGTTTGCAAAGGTTGAGCCCCATGCACAGATACCATAATTAAGATAGGGATAGATTACACATAGTTTAGTGAGAGGAGAGCAGAGTTTGGACCATAATATCTGACTTTAGAGAGTCTAACAATCGTTTTTGAGACTTTCTTGGTTATGTGTTGTATGTGGGTGCTGAAGTTGAGTCTCTTGTCTAAGTATAGGCCAGGAACTTTACATAATTTTTGTTGCTGATGTTAACATTGTATATTTAAAGCTGAATTGCATTTGTCGATTTGCTTACAAATAAGATGTAGTAGGTCATTTCTATGTTTAGTGTGAGTTTGTTGGTTAACACCCATAAGTGAACTTTTTTTAGTTCATTGTTTACGCATTATTTAGTGTATACGGGTTGGGGTCTGAGTAGATGAGGGTAGTATCATCAGCAAACAATATAGGTTTAAGCACGTTAGAGACATTAGGCAGCTCATTGATGTATATAAGAAATAGGAGAGGTCCTAGGATGCTGCCCTGCAACACCCCTACGGTTAGTGGTAGAGTGGGAGGTTATATCATTGGTGGCTACATATCGGTGTCTGTCACAAAGATAGGATCGGATATAGTTCAGGACAAGGCCACGGATTTCATAATGGTGGAGTTTAGGTAAGAGGTAGTTATGGTTAACTGTATCAAAGGCCTTTCTCAGGTCGATGAAGAGTCCAATCGGTAACTCATTTTTATAAAGGGCTGAGTAGATTAAGTCAAGCAGACTAATAATTGCATCATTGATACTCTTTTGGGAGCGGATGCCAAATTGACAGGGACTTACTATGTTGAATTTTATGAGATAGGAGCGGAGTTATTTGTAAATAAAATTTTCAAATATTTTTGATAATATAGGTAGATTTGATATTGGTCTATAATTATTTATGTCTACCGCATCGCCTCCTTTATGAACTGGCGCTACTCGTGCCTTTTTAAAGATATCAAGGAAGGTATGACACTCTAGAGAGTTGTTGAACAGCAGAGCTATGGGTGGTGCAAGGGCATGTGAGACACTCTTGAATACCATGGATGGTTTTTTACTAATGTTCCCAACTTTGGTTTTTAGTGAGTGTATGATAGACACAACATCTGTCGGGCTGACTGGTGAAAGCAGAAGAATCTGGATAACTACCTGAAAGATATGTGGTAACATGCGTCTGAGTCTGTGGGATTTTTTCTGGCAAGTTTAGGACCAACCGGTGAAAAGAAGCTATTAAATTCAGTTGCCGTGTCTAGATCTGTTGCAGGTGTATAACCATCCTTGGAGATTTTTATCTGGTTATGTGAATGTTGTTTAGCTCCTAGGATGTTAGAAATGGCTCTCCATGTGCTTTTCATGTTGCCTTATGCTTCTTTGAATCTACTCTCATAATAGGAAAGTTTTGCTTTTCTTATTATGCTGGTAAGCACTGACGAGTACCTCTTAACTACTTCCTTTGCAACTAGGCCAATCCAAATTTTTTTTCATATATATGTTTCTTGTCGATTGCTTTGAGTTTGCCATTTGTGAGCCAGGGATTGTTTAACCTTTTGTCAGTTACTTGCTTGGTGAGGAGAGGATGGTGAGTGTTGTAGAGGCTTAGAATTTTGGAAAGGAAGAGGTTAGCTAATGAATTTATATCCTGAGTATTATTGAATTCAGATTACCAATTTATATTGTGGAGTGCATTTGTGAGATTGCCTATTGCTGCTTCACTGTGTAACCTAAAGGTAAGTTTCTTGTTAGCTGGTAGTGTTATGTCTATGTTCGCTTCGTGGAAGGTAGGATAGCAGTTGGTTGTTCTGTCAGTGATTATACCAGATGCAAAAGGAGCTGTTATGTTAGTCCATTAATGATCCAAGACAGTAGCGGATGTTTGAGTGATTCGTGTTTGCCTGGTAATTTGTGGGGTACTATCATACAAAAGTTCATGCTGTTTAGGAAATAGTCGACTTGAGGTCTATTTTGCTGACCCAGGTCAATATTGAAGTCTCCTCCTAGAATGATGTGATTTTTGTTGAGATTGTTGTTTATGATAAGATCCCTTAGGTTATCTAAGAATGATGCTATGTTAGATAGCTCCAATAGTCAAGGAGGATCTAAGCAATTTAATCAAGAACTGAGCAAAGGTATATTCACAGTAGTCGTCTCTATCACTAATGACACTATTGCAGGTGAAGGTATCTTGGTAATATATAGCTGTGCCACCTCCTTTTTATTACACCTACAGTTGTGAATATCTTTATAACCAGCTAAGTTGTAGAGTTGAGTATAGTCTTTGCTTAGCCAGGTTTCTGTTAAAATAAACAAGTGTTAAGCAAGCGTTATTTTAGAGTTTGTTTTCTGCAAGGTTTGCTGAGTAATATCTACAGTAGTGGTGATCAATATGTTGGTTATTATAGATTTGTGATAGCAGATTTAGTTCAGGATCAATATCAGCTCGCATGTAGACGCAATAGGGTCTAAGTACAATAAGACAAGCAATTACAGAGCAGTTAAATACTAAATCTACTGTAAATATAAAGTAACTATAGCAAAAATACAACAATAAATGCAAATACACATATAATATGAACAATTAGAAGTACAATAAAGATCGCTGTAGATAGACAAGAAGTGTACAGAAGTTAGGTAAAAAAAAAATCAATAAAGATTGACAAGAATAATGTATAATAAAAATAACAATAAGTTGAATAATAATCGTAAAGTAATATATATTTAATGATAATTAACTATAAATAGCTGAGTTATGATCCCATAATTTGTTTGAACTTAAGAAAGTAAAAACTAAATCAGTTAATTAATTCCAATAAATGACTAATGTAAATCAAATTACAATTGCATTTAAAGACACCAGGGTAAGATTATACATGAGTAAGATTTACTATGATACTGAGGTAGATGCTTACATGAGTACATGGAGACTATAATGATTAGTTAGGAACTTTTATGGGTGAGAGAACATTATTTAACCAGCCGAGCAAAAGACAGCACCTTGGATAAGGATAGTCTAGGTTTGGCTAGGCTCAGTCGTTGATGAGTTATTTTCAATATTGTCATGGGAAGGATTCTGGGTTTCAGATATACCACAATCATTAAAGAAGGCCAGTAGTTGTTGGTCACACTTTATTTCATATCTTTTTCCTATTCTTTCCTTCTTTACAATGATCGTTCCATTCCTGGTGTAGCACTGCTTGATAACACTTAGGTTTTGTTTGTGAATTTGATGCAGTCTGTAGAGAAGGGATCCGCGCTGCTTGGTAAGGCTCTCATTTATATAAGGGTTAGTCTTTTACTTAGCAGCTGCTTGCACGGGGTCATACTTGGCAGCCGGATTTGCAAGTTTGATGAACATTCTCCTAGTGCTGCGAGGACTGTTTTTATCTATCCTGACAGCTGATTTTATATGAACGTTGACTTTGATCTTTGACTGAATTAGTTTACAGGCTACATTACAGCAGATCTCATTTTGTTGTTTATCTGGTAGATCAGAACTAATTATCAGAGAGTCGTGAAGTTGTTGCTGCTCTAGGTCGTCTTCAGAGGCCGCATGGTGCATCTGGAGGAGATTTATTTGCTTTTCCACCTTTTGAAGGAAGTCGGTTTGTCCTGGCTGGGATTCCTCGGTCTTAATCTTGTTTATTTGTTTCGTTGTCATCTGTTACAATTTGTAAGCTGTTAATTGCTTGATAGTTGTTCGTCAAAGTCTCGAGGAGGCAGTCTATCTTGAGTTATCTTGAGATGATTCTTGAGATGATTTCGGGGCTTTTAGTGTCCCCGCGGTCCGGTCCTCGACCAAGCCTCCACCCCCAGGAAGCAGCCCGTGACAGCTGACTAACACCCAGGTACCTATTTTACTGCTAGGTAACAGGGGCATAGGGTGAAAGAAACTTTGCCCATTGTTTCTCGCCGGCGCCTGGGATCGAACCCAGGACCACAGGATCACAAGTCCAGCGTGCTGTCCGCTCGGCCGACCGGCTCCCTGAATATAGTCTATAGTTTATTGTTGTTGAGAGACCGTTGTCGGGAATCCGACACACACACACACACACACACACACACACATAACACAGTCTCCCTTAGTCTGTAATCCCTTCAGGATGGAAAATGGGAGACTCCGTG